CTTTTTTCTTGTACTCCACAGATGAGTGATATCATTTGATACTTGTCTTTCTCTGCCTGTCTTATTTCACTGAGCATAATACCCTCTGGCTCCATCCATGTTGTTGCAAATGGTAGGATTTGTTTTCTTCTTATGGCTGAATAATATTCCATTGTGTATATGTACCACATCTAGATTATTTATCCATTCATCTACTGATGGACACTTAGGTTGCTTCCATTTCTTGGCTATTGTAAATAGCGCTGTGATAAACATAGGGGTGCATATGTCTTTTTCAAACTGGGTTGCTGCATTCTTAGGGTAAATTCCTAGGAGTGAAATTACTGGGTCAAATGGTATTTCTATTTTGAGCTTTTTGAGGAACCTCTTTATTGCTTTCCACAATGGTTGAACTAGTTTACATTCCCACCAGCAGTGTAGGAGGGTTCCCCTTTCTCCACAACCTCGCCAACATTTGTTGTTGTTTGTCTTTTGAATGGTAGTGATCCTTACTGGTGTGAGGTGATATATCAGTGTGGTTTTAATTTGCATTTCTCTGATGATTAGCAATGTGGAGCATCTTTTAATGTGTCTGTTGGCCATCTGAATTTCTTCTTTGGAGAACTGTCTGTTCAGCTCCTCTGATCCTCTGCCTATTTTTTAATCAGATTTTTTTTTAATGTCATTTATATATTTTGAATGTTTGAATTCTTCATATATTTTGGCTGTTAACCCCTTATTGGATAAATCATTTACAAATATTGTCTCCCATACTGCAGTTTGCCTTTTTGTTTTGTTGATGGTATCCTTTGCTGTACAGAAGCTTTTTAGTTTGATGTAGTCCCATTTATTCATTTTTGGTTTTGTTTCCCTTGCCTGGGGAAACCTCTAGAAAAAAATTGCTCATTCTTATTTTCAATTGATTTTTTGCCTACATTTTCTTCTAAGACTTTTATGGTTTCATGTCTTATAGTTAGGTCTTTAATCCATTTCAAGTTTATTTTTATATTTGGAGGTAGGCAGTATGCAGTTTCATTCTCTTGCATATATCTGTCCAGTTTTCCTAACACCATTTATTGAAGAGACTTGTCTTTTCTCCATTGTGTATTCATGGCTCCTTCATCATATATTATTTGACCATATATGCATGGGTTTATTTTGGGGCTATCTATTCTGTTCCATTGGTATATGGGTCTGTTCTTGTGCCAGTATCATACTGTTTTAGTTACTGTAGCTTTGCAGCATAGCTTAAGTCAAGGAGCATAACCCTCCCAGCTTTGTTCTTTCTCAGGATTGTTTGGCTGTTTGGTGTCTTTTGTGGTTTCATATGAATTTTAGGATTATGTGCTCTAGTTTTTCAAAAAATGCCACTGGCATTTTGATAGGGATTGCACTGAATCTGTAAATTGCTTTGGGCAGGATAGACATTTTGACAATATTAATTATTTCTATTCATGAGTGTGGGATAGATTTCCATTTATTTGTGTCTTTTTTAATTTCTTTCATCACTGTCTTACAGTTTTCAGTGTACGGACCTTTTACCTTCTTGGTTAGGTTTATTCCTAGGTATTTAATTTTTTTAATGCAATTGTAAATCCTTGATTGATTTTTCTGAGGTTTATATCTCACTTGGTCATGATTTATTATCCTTTTAAAATATTGCTTGATTTCATTTTGTTCAGTCAAAAAATTTTTTAAATGAGGGATCTTTGTTCATGAGGAATACTTTGTAGTTCTCTTTTCTGGTGTTATCTTTATATGATTTTGGTATCAGGGTAATGCTTGGCCTCATAAGATTGGTTGGGAATTCTACTTAAACTTTTTGAAGAGATGTGTAGAATTGGTATTATTTCTTCTTTCAGTGTTTGGTAGAATTCATTAGTGAAATCATTTTTAGCTTTTCCTAGTGTATCTTGAATCTGTATTATGACACTTCAGGTATAGTTTGAGATCCTTGCAATGATGTACTTTTATTTTACCCTTTTAGTCCTTTATGTTATTGGCTTGATATATTTTATTTGTACCTGTATCATAAATGACACAATGTATTATTTTTTACTTCATAGTAAATTATCTTCTACCAAAAATCAGAAAAATGTGTTTTATATTTTATTCAATATTTACCATTTCCTGTGTTCTTTAGTCTTTTGTGTTGATATGAATTTCTATCTTGGATCATATATCTTTTTCCTGAAAAACCTTCTTTTAACATTTCTTCTAGTACAGATATGTTGGAAATGAATTCTGTAATATTTTTCTTGAAAAGTTTTTTCACTCTTAATTTTGGAAGATATAATTACTGTGTATATTTCTAGGTTGATGGTTTTCTTTCATTACTATAAAGATGTCATTACATTATCTTCTGGTTTATATAATTTCTGATGGTAAGTTTACTGTCACTCTTATTTTTGTCTCACTGTATATAATATGTCTTTTTTCCTTTAGATGCTTTTCATATTTTCTTTGTATCACTGGTTTTCAGCAGTATGATTTTGATATGACTTGGTATGGTTCTCTGTATAGTTCTTCTTCAATCTAAGTAATTTTAGTTTCCATCAGTTTTGGAAAATTTAAGACCACTATTCCTTCACATATTTTTTATCCCTTTCTTCTCTCCTTCCTTTCTGGAACTCTGGATACAGAAATGTAAGACCACTTGATACTATTCCACAGATCACTGATACTCTCTTCATTTCTTTTCAGTTGTTTTTATCTCTGCTTCATTTGAGAGAGTTTCTATTGATAAGTCTTTAAAATCACTGATGTTTTCATTTGTAGTGACTAATCTATACATTCTTTCTAGTGTATTTTCACTTCAACTATTATGTTTTCATTTATAGAGCACTCTTTGGGTCTTCAAAAAATACCTTCCATTTCTCCTTTCATCCATATGTATGTTTCCTTTACTTTCTTGGACATAGTGAACATATTTATGATAGCTGTTTTAACATGTTTCATTTCCTAATTCCATCATCTGTCAGATCTGAGTCAATTCCTATTAATTAATTTTTTTCCTGGTTATGGGTCATATTCTCCTGTTTTTCATGTACTACTTATAATTTTGTTTGGCTGCGATTTTTATTGTATTCCTTTAAATAATATTAGACATGGATCTGGTACATAGTTGCAATCAGTTTAGTCGTCTTGAGATTTACTTTTAAGCAGTGTTAGTGTGGATATAGAGCAATTTTTATTCTGCTACTAATTTAGTTCCACTACTAAGGTGTGATCTTTCTGTGGGCTAATGCCCCATGTCTTACAAGTTCTTACCATTCTCGCTGGGGATAACATGAAATATTCCCAACCACGTGTAAGCTCTGGGAATTGTTTGTTCTCCTGCTTTCCTGTGGACTTTCTGTGGCTTCAGGTCGCTTTTTCTGACATATGTACAGGTCAGTACTTAGCCAGAAACTGTGGAGAACCTTTTGCAGTTCCCCTGAAGTCTCTTTCCATGCAACTCCCAATGTCTAGTATTCTGCTATACAAATTCTGATTACCATGGCCTCTTAACTATGAGCTCTTTTCTCTGCAGTTCAGTGAGACCACTGGATTCTGTTTGTGTTTCTTTTCCCTGCACTGTCACCAGGAAACTGTATCTAGGAAGTAAGCTAGAGCAGTTTTTGTTCTGTTTTCACACTTTGAAAGCTTATTAAAATATTTTCTGGAGGTACATTTGGAGTATAAATCAAAGTTGGTAGTCCAGGATCCTTAATAAGGGAGTTTGAATGCTCTGAAAATGAGTGATTGGTTTTGATTCTTTAATCTCATGTTGCTTGAGCCTTGTGTAGGTTTTCAGGCATGGTAGAGTTATTTGCATTTGTTGAATATTTGGTAAAATATTTTGGCTTATGTTTGTGAAGATGTTATTTAATAGAGTCTATTCATTTTGAAAGGTCAAATTACCTTTCAAAAACTTACGCATTCTCTTATAGGGCTCAAAATCTCCTTCACCAAGACCAAACATGCCTATTCGATACTTCATAATGAAGAGTAGCAATCTGAGAAACCTTGAAATTTCTCAACAGAAGGGTATCTGGTCTACAACCCCTAATAATGAACGGAAGCTAAATCGAGCCTTTTTGGAAAGCAGCATGGTTTACTTGGTATTTTCTGTTCAAGGATCTGGACATTTTCAGGTGAGCCATCCTGCAACAGTATAATGGGGTTGTTCTGATAAAGTTAGACTACAGAGATTAAAACCACTCCTCAAACCTGGCTTTCTATTGTATTGGAATAAAAAATGCATTTTGTTTCACTGGAAATAAGGAGTATATTGCATTTCTTCAGGAGAATGATATGTAGGGATCCCTTTTTTTTTTTGCCTTGTCTTACCAGAGCATCTCCAAATAAACAATTTCTCCATTGGAAGACAGCTTTAGATTTACTATTTCTCAGGTGGATTAAAAATAATGAGAAGCTGACTTTTTGGTTAAATTTTATTTAACTAGGCCAAGGAAGTTAGTATTGACAATCAAGAAACTGAGTATGTTTCTTAACTCATCTTGACTTGATATAAATCTGAATTTACAAAATAAGAAATTATTTGACATTATTATAATTTTTGTAAGTAAAAACTTAAAAGTTAGATTGTATCCATTTATCAGAATAAATGTGGGTTTAGAACTGTTAATACATTATTTAGAAAATACCTTTATATTTGAAATTATGTTGGAAGGCTGGTATTGGTTTTTCCTCTAAAATTGCTAATACATGTATTTATGAAAAACGCTTAATAAGAAACTTTTGTTTTTGTTTTTGTTAGATATCTATTCTTTTAATATTAGTTTTTACCTTAGAAAACTCAGAGCTTTCTCAGATAAATTGAACTTAGACATTTTAATATCACCCTTACCTTCCCTCTTCCCAAACCTCATTTTACCCACAGGGATTTTCTAGGATGTCTTCTGAGATAGGAAAGGAGAAGAGCCAGGACTGGGGCTCTGCTGGACTAGGAGGAGTGTTTAAGGTGGAGTGGATACAGAAAGAAAGTCTTCCTTTTCAGTTTACACACCATTTACTCAATCCTTGGAATGACAACAAGAAAGTCCAGATCAGCAGAGACGGGCAGGTATACAATGGCACTTAATATTTCTTGTCTTACTTTTCTTTTTGTTTTGTTTTGCTATTATTCAATGATTTGTTTGAGGAGCAAATATAAGACTATAAATTGTATATTCCATATGCACATGGGAGGTAGTGGTTCAGATTTGAAAAAGAGCTAGTAAAAACCTGCTTACAAGTATGTCTGACAGAGTTCATGCCAGAAGTGTTTTTTAATGTTTCATAAATTTGACTTGTCATATATCTAATATTTATTTTATAATATGCATATGTAAAATCTTTCACAGGTTACTTCACAGAAGCTCCTGTTGTATTACTAACTACAGATATGATTAACACTGAGTGTAATTCTAAAGTAATTTGACTGAAATCTAAGGGTAACAACAGTATTTAACTTCTTTATGGCTTTAATTATGTGACATAAGTAACAGTATTTATTTATACTTTTGTGGCTTGTCTTACTTCTGTGACATTTTGCTTTACCTTCATAATGCTGCTAATATGTACTTTAGTTAAGGTGATAGAAATTAGTGTGTGTATGAACTACTGTGCTAGCTGCTTTATCCAAGGTAATGTAATTTAATGCATAAAATGTGTTATTAGCCCAATTTTATGTAGGAGAAAACAGATTCAGAGGAATTAGTCTTGCCTAAGTTCACATAGCTGATAATTTATTTGAACCATAGTGACTTGCCTCAAATCACTGAAAGCCTTTGAGTTCTTTTTAAATGCACATCATGTCACAAAGAGGACTATAAATGACATTCTTTTCAATTGTATGAGGGTATTTTCTTTTATTTATTCATTAAAGTATCATCAATATACAATCTTATGATCGTTTCACATACCCAGCACAGTGGTTCAACTTTTACCCATATTTTCAAGTCCTCACACCCTCTAGTGTGGTCACTGTCTATCACATAGTCAGATGTTACAGAGTCATTAATTGTATTCTCTGTGCTGTACTACTGTCCTTGTGACCTACCTATATTATGATTAAGAACTATAGTGCCCCTTGAACTCACATGCCTCAACATCCAAAAGGCAAGTGAGCCTATTAAAAAATAGGCACAGGATATGAACAGACAGTTCTCCAAAGAAGAAATTCAGATGGCCAACAGGCACATGAAAAGATGCTCCACATCACTAATTATCAGGGAAATGCAAATTAAAACCACAATGAGATATCACCTCACACCAGTTAGGATGGCCAGCACAGAAAAGACTAAGAACAACAAATGCTGACAAGGATGTGGAGAAAGGGGAACCCTCCTACACTGCTGGTAGGAATGTAAACTAGTTCAACCATTGTGGAAAGCTATATGGATGTTCCTCAAAAAACTAAAAATAGAAATACCATTTGACCCAGGTATTCCATTCCTAAGAATTTACCCTAAGAATGTAGGATCCGAGGTTCAAAAAGACATATGCACCCCTATGTATATTGCACCACTATTTACAATAGCCAAGAAATGGAAGCAACCTAAGTGTCCATCAGTAGATGAATGGATAAAGAATAGGTGGTACATATACACAATGGAATACTATTCAGCCAGAAGAAAGAAATCCTACCATTTGCAGCAACATGGTTGGAGCTAGAGTGTATTATGCTCAGTGAAATAAGTCAGGCAGAGAAAGACAAGCACCAAATGATTTCCCTCATTTGTGGAGTATAACAACGAAACAAAACTGAAGGAAGAAAATAGCAGCAGACTCACAGACCCCAAGAAGGGACTAGCAGTTACCAAAGGGAAGGGGTGGGGCAGGGCATATGGGGAGGGAGGGAGAAGGAATTGTGGGGTATCATGATTAGTGCACATGGTGTGTGTGGGTTCACGGGGAAGACAGTGTAGCACAGAGAGGACAAGTAGGGACTCTGTGGCATCTTACTACACTGATGGACAGTGACTACACTGGGGTGTGGGGGGGGGACTTAATAGTAAGGGTGAATGAAATAACCACATTGATTTTCTTGTGAAACCTTCATAAGAGTGTATATCAATGATACCTTAATAAAAAAAAAGAAAAAAAGAAAGATACAACCAAAAAAAGAAAAAAAAGGACTATAGTGTCCCTTAGTCCCCTTCTTCCTCTCCACTCTCTCCACTCACCCTCTCCAACCCCTCTCCTTTGGTAACCACTAGTCCCTTTTTGGTGTCTGTGAGTCTGCTGCTGTTTTGTTCCTTTTGTTTCGCTTTGTTACTATACTTCACAAATGAGTGAAATCATTTGGTATTTGTCATTTTCATCTGGCTTATTTCACTGAGCATAATACCCTCTAGATCCATACATGTTGTTGGAAATGGCAGGATTCTTTTCTTTTTGTGGTTGAATAATATTCCATTGTGTATATGTAGTATAAGGGTATTTTCATTTTTATTGTTTAATAATGATATTGGAATAAACCTGATTCATAAGAATTTTATACAGTCACCTAAGATAAGTTCTTGAAAAAAACCTCCAAAACATCTAATATGCTAAGTTACACAGTTAACCTTTGGAAGTTCAAGCTGAGTGCTTTAGCTAAATCTTCATAAAAACAAAATTCATTATTTCCAGATAGAGAAAAATTTCAAAAGAACTTCATGGAGATGTCTTACCATTTTGCAACAAATATTTATAAAATTTGCAGGTTAACTACAGTTCTGAAGTCTGAAAGTCATTTCCATAAACTTTAATGGAAAGAATGAAAGGCATGCAAACCATATGATTTTAGCGTATTCTTGTAGAAAAATGAAATTTAAAGTGCTTTTCTTACATTTTTAGTCAGTACATATTCTGGTGAGTAAAAAAAACTCAATCCAGTTGTTCATTCTTACTTTTCATTTACCTAGGAGCTGGAACCTCAGGTTGGTGAACAGTTGCTCCAGTTATGGGAACGCCTTCCACTGGGAGAAAAAAGCACAACTGATTGACACTCAGGTTATGTCATATTTGATTTTGAGTACTATTGGCAGTATTTACCATCATTAAGGATATCTTTCAGATATTTATCTCTCTTTTCTTTTCCCTTCCAGAACTCTTAGCTATGGAAGACCATCATACTTATAACCACTGAGTGCACTGACTTTCAAAAACTGAGATGGGGTTGTGTGTTATGAAAGGTCTTTCAAATACCCCGAAACACCACAATTCTAAATGCCTCTTTATTTTTCTAGTACTTTTTATCCCATATCTGTTTGGGGGTATGAGTTCACTTTTTTTTTGCACTTCTAGTTTAATAAATGAGGAGGAATTTATTGTGAACCCATGTTAGTGCCAATTTCTTTGCTTCTCAAAAGTATTTGATCTTTTTACCATCATTGTCTGTAAAGTTTCCTTAGAGTATTTTTTAAGGGAAATAGAAGTACAGGGAAAAATGAGAAACATATCTTGGTTACTGAGTTCTAAATAGAACAGATTTTTGATAGCACTTTTTTATGATTTATTTGGGTCATTGCTATGTAACAGAAAACCAACATAAGTCTAATTCAAAGGCAAAAAGAAAAGACCAAGTCACTATTTCTTTGTTGAAGAAGAAAGGAGTAAAAATCATGGGTCTACATAAAATCTTGACATCCCTTCTACTTTCTCTTGGAAAGCATTATGTGTTGGTGCATTAGCTTAGAACATCAGCCATGATTTTTGCTTGAATTTGTAGTTATTGTGGGTTTGTTTTGGTTTGTTTTATACCTTGAGACATGCCTTTAAATTGTGCCTCTGTGAGTTATCTTCCACTGTATGTGTATTACAGCTCTTCTCCTGTTAGAGCCACTTGTGTTTTTCTGATGATACATACATTTTGTTTAGGTGTATATTTAGCAGTTTACAGTTACTAAATTTGGAAGTAAGAACTTTTAAAAGATAAAACTTGTTTTAATTTTCATCTATTTTCTAATATATAGCCCTGTATGTAAATGATGAACTTGTTAATATTTAAAGTGAACACAGTTTGATTATAATTAAAATTCTGTTTTTGGAAGAGATGAACTTTATGGAATTCTGTTCAATTATTTAGATCTTGTTATTTCTGATACTGTATAATAGGTCTAAGGTAACCATGACCAGTGTATGCCTTCAGATATTAATGAATTTCAAATGCCTTGAAGAATATGAAATTGATGTAAAAGGTGAGATTCATCAGTATCTCTTCCTTGAAGAAATTTACCTTATTATGATAGGGAAATGGAAAAAAATCTCAACATGTGTTTAAAAGAACCAGTTTTCTGCATGTTAATAAAATATGCAGCTATCCACCTTCTGTTCCCAGTTAAGACCCTGCATTCTGGTAACATGCCATGTGTCTGCTGAGTAGCCCAGCCTCACTCCACCAGTTAAAGCAAAGAAGTCAACGAGGAAGGAATATCTCAAATAAGTACTTTAAGAAAAGACAGATTCATTTAACAATTTGTCTTTAGTGACTCAGTCACCATTTAGAATCTTATATGCTGAAACTGAGAAAGTCTTGAGGAATAATTCAAGGATGCTTCATCCCTGAATCAACACTAGGGCAAAAATACTTCAATTGAACATGTAACTCAATTGATCACACGTTGTAGTCAGAGTGAGCTTCCCGGAGCACTCATCCCCACGGTGCTCTAGCACTCTCCACCATTCCTCTCTACCCAGAGGACCACACATTACAGTCATATGTCCAAGACTCTCAGATGCACCTTGGTCTTTCCAGCCAAGTGTGGAATTCCTTATGTCTGTGTAATAGTATCTCAGACTGTGTATTCAATATTGAACTACTATTCTTTCCCTGAGCCTGTTCCACCTAAAGCTGTCCTCTTCAGGTCCATTCTTTTGTTTGCTCAGGCCAGAAAACAGTCACCCTTAATGCCTTTATTTCTCTCGGTCCAATCCATCAGAAAATTTTCTAGGGTCTACTTTCAAAATATACCTGGACTTTGTTTCCCACCACACCTATCACAACCACATCGAACTGAGCCACCATCATTTTTATCTGAGTTATTGAGACAGCCTCTTGAGAACCCCTCTTCTGCCTCTCCCACCTCTGCCACCAATCTATTTTCAACACAGAGATCAGTGAACATTTAAACACATGAAATCAGCTCATATTACTCTGTTGCTCAAAACTCTCCAACAGCTCCCATTTCACCCAAAAGCCAAAGTTCTTATAATTGCATAAAAGCCTTCCATGATCTGGTCTCCCATTATATCTTTGACCTTCTCTCCTGTCCTCTCCGATACTCATTCCACTTTTTCTATATTGACTTCCTCACTATTCCTTCAATACACCAGGCATGTTACAGCCTTGTTTTAGCTGTTCATTGTGCCTGGAATGCCCTTTGAAATTTGTTTAACTTGTAAATTATAATAAAATGAACTTTTTTTATATGTACAGCTCTGTGAATTTTAGCACATGTACAGATTTATGGAACTTTCACTTCAATCAGGATAGAATTCCATCTCACCCAAAATTCCCTTTGTTGTTATAGCCTCCTTTTACCCCTAACCCATGCCAGCCCTTGATCTGTTCTCTGACATTCCAGCTCTCTGTTTTTTGATAATATCATATAAATAGAAACATACAGTGTGTACTTTTGGGACTGACGTATTTCACTCAGCACAATGCCTTTGAGGCTGATCCAAGTTGTTATGTACATCAAAGTTCGTTTCCTTTTATTGCTGAGTAGCATTCTATTGTATAGAATGTGCCACATTTTTTTTTTATGAATGAAAGTAATGCCTGTATATTATAAAAATTCAGGCAATGTGTACATATACAATGTAGAAGTTAATGTTGAAGAATGACTAAGAATAATTTGTAAAAGAAAGATAGTAAAGGGTGAGAGCTTGTCCTATCAGGTAAAGAGTATGGTAGTAGAGAAGTATAAATATGTTACTTGTAAACACCTGAGTCTGGGATAGAGAGGGCATTCCAACAATACACTATTGTTCCTTATTCAATAATAAGAGCTCATAAGTAATGAAATATGATAGTGCCCATAAGAATACTTCCCTCACTGAAGGATTTTTGTCCCTCATAGGTAGCGGCCCACCATGACATCTGTTACATTACCCTATATTCTTAAAATTAGCATAGCATAGCATTATGTAGGACAGATTATGGATGGAAGTAATTAGAAATTTTATTTTTGGTTCAGATAATGGCCTTGGAGCATATGGAAGTCTCCTAATTCATTGGCAATGAGTTCATAAACTCTGTTGGAGCTACAGCTGTGAACCTACAGTATACATCCTCTGGGCACTTTTAGCAGATTTTTCCCTTGGTGATAATTAATAAATTAATAATTGGTGCTAAGAGAATTTAATGTATCATGTAATGAGAAGCAGAAACAGCATGTAAGAAATTCATGCTTCTTTACAGGTCATGCTATTAGAAAAAAAGGAAAGTTCGCAAGTTACCTTGGCCAACATACTAGCATGTTAGATTGACTACCTCCCATCCCCTTGTGATGGTAAAATTAATATTCTTCATTTAAACACTGGTCACTGGTGCTGTGGAATTATCAGGGTTTATTGGAATAGTGCTATTATGGGAACTCTTGAATTATTAATGATTAGTGCTTAGGTATTACATTCATACAGATTACATTTGCAAACTTATAAAGAAAAGTGATGCACATATTGTCTTTGAAAAACTGTTGATTTAGAAAGTTATATTCTTCTACATAATTGCTCTCCTTCAGTAAGAAAGATATTTGCATAGAGTCTTGTCATCATTCTAAGTTACTCAGTATTCAGTGCAATGGTAGGCACTCAATAATAAGAGCTCAATCTATACACTGCTCTTTAAAAAGTTCCCTCAAATTGCTTTGCATTAAATCTTTTATTATTATTACTATGATTCCAGAAATTGAGAATATTTGTTTATCAGAGATTATAGGTTGTAGTGCCCTTCAGATAGAGTCATTGCCTGAGAATGAGGCTGTCCTAGTAAGAATAGTGCTTCTGGCTCAATTACTTTCCTTAGAAAGTGGAATAAAGCATAAAAAAAGGGGTATGAAGAGAACATTGTTTTGAACCTTTTCTTTTTTTCTATGACAAACTCCTAAGTGTTATCAGAAGCCACTTGTAAAGCTTGAGGTCCACACTGCCTACTCAATATCTCCACTGGATGTTTTGGAGAACACTTAAGTCACCTGTCTAACACTCCACCAAGATCATTCTTTGGATTCCCTCCTCTCCTGACATGTTCCTTCTTTTGGGTTTCCTAACTCCACAAATGTAACCACAGTGTACTCAGATGCTTATGCCAGGAACTGGGGCATTATTTTTCATCTGGTACATCGTTTTGCTTCAACTTTTACAAACACAATTGACCATTTTACTTCTTACTATCTTTCAAATTGATCTGTTCTCTCCATCTTCATTGCATTGCCCTAGATGAGCCATGAGCAAATCTCCCACGGAATCCTGCAGGGGCCAGCTAATTGGTCTCTGCCTTCCCACGTTTTCCTTCCAGTCCACTGTGTGCAACTCAAGTGATCATTTCAATCGTAATTGGGTCACATCATGGACCTGTTTGAAATCTTTGCAGTTGTGACAGAGCCTGTTTGGTCTGGTCTGTGCTTTTCTCTCCAGGTTTGTCTGCTTGCTATAGGTTGTCCTCTTAGCATCCTGCAGTGATGATATGCTCTTTCACATAGCTGACCCACCTCAGTTAATTCTTTCAGACCTCAGAACACAGTTACTCCTGGAAAGCTTTCTCAGGTCTTCTGGGTTTGGTCAAATCCCCCTTACGTACTTTTGTTACACGAGCCGCTTTCCCCTGAACATGTATCACACCCATTCATTTGTTCAATGTTTGTTTGTACAGGAGCCCTGTCTTCTAGGTGTGCCACTGTAGCATGCTCCTTGGGACATCTTAACCTTTCTCCTCCCCGCTTTTTACATTATTTTCTTAGTTCTATTCATGTCAGTTTTCTATGTGTCATCTTCAAGGTTGGGTTAGGGGAAGAAGTAAGAGCCTATGATAATTAGCCATCTTGTTAGGAACAGGGAATTCCCTATTTCCATTCCCTATAGTTTTCACAAATAATATTTTAGTGGCTTCTGTATACTCCATCTTAATGATGTCCCACAATGGGAGTCATTCACTAAGGCAGGGAAAATTAAACCTTAGTATTTAGGATCATATGTAGGTAGTAAAGTTATAAGAAAATCAATGAAGTACTTACCATAAAAGTCAAGGTAGATATTATCTTCAGGGAGGGAGGAGATTGTTAATTGGGAAGACACAGGTTGGGGGCTTCTGAAGTATGGCAAAGTTTTTATTTCTTGACATGGACGGTGATCAGGATGGGTGCATAATGTATGGAGCCAGTGCAAAATGAAAATGTGGGGTCTCTTGTTTTTTTATTTTGTAGGTAATCTGCTTCATTATTATTATTTTTCTTTTCTTTTTGTTATCCTTAATCTACAATTACATGAAGAACATTATGTTTACTACGGTCCCCCCCTCACCAAGTCCCACCCACAAACCCCATTACAGTCATTTTCCATCAGCGTAGTAAGATGTTGTAGAATCACTACTTGTCTTCTCTGTGTTGCACAGCCCTCCCCGTGCCCCCACCGCTATACATGCTAATCGTAATACCTACTTCCCTTTTCCTCAACCAAAGCCCATACATTCACGTAAGTGGTACGTTTTTCTAAGAAATAAATGAGCCAACTTAAATAA